AGACGTCAGAGAATGAACGTTACTGTTGCTAGGCTAAGCTAACTCGTCATGGATCATGATTATGCATTGACGGTTGCTGCACCTTCTGACACCGAAGCTGTCCTGGTAAACAAGCCAGTAAAACGGAAACGTACAGGTCAACCAAGCGTTCCCAGAAGAATTTGGGATAAGAAGAGAGCTAAATCAAGGATAAATATTGGTGTGGCCTTTCCGAGATGGAGAGAGCTTCGTGAAAATCTAGGACTACAATTCAACGCCGACCTTGCGTGTGTTCTACTAGACAGGTAAGTAAACATCTGGCTGATTTTATCGAAATATTAATCATTTCCACCAGTGTACTGCAAGCACTGCTGCCCGCCGGGGCACCAGCGCTCCGGCCAGCCACGGTCAGTTTCGGTTTCACTGAGTGAGGAACGTCAGATCTGTATCTGTTATATGACTACAACTCCCATGATCCCACGCTACTTCGTGACATCATCCAACTCAGTCTTCTGTTATTGTTTTGGTTTGAGACCCCTAGTGGCAGAAAATTACATATTGCACGTTTAAATGCGAAATGCTAACCTTACTTTCTTTGATATTAACAATACTTTTTTATGCTAACATTACTTTTTTATGCTAAACTTACTTTTTTTTTGCTAACATTAGTTTTAATACTAACCCTATTTTTTTTTAATGTCGATCCTACTTTTTTAATGCTAACCTTAGTTTTTGTAATGTTCAGGTTACTCTTTTACACTTACCACACTTTTAATATGTTAACATTACTTTTTTATGCTAACGTTCCTTTTCATGCTAACGTTACTCGTTATATCCTAACCTATCTCCATCACAACAGTAGAAAACAAGCAATGTTCACATTTTCTTTCAACAATTTCCTTTATATTCTGTTAAAATTTAAGTTTTATTTGGATGGAAATGATTTAAGGATCTCAGTCACTCCTGGGTGCTGACTCTGATCCAAAGCTGGCCTGGTTAACATGGCACCATTTTTTTAAATAATGGGAAACATTTTGACTTGGAACCAGATTTTTTCCAGCAGGGAAAAATCCCAGAAACTCTTTTCTTGTTCACACGACAAAGAAGCTTAAAGAAACACAAAACATTTGGCCTAATTTTCTCTCTGGCTTTAAATCAAAGGAAATGTTGAAACTCTTCCAGACCTAAAATAAAGGAGCTTGGACAATAACCAAAACTCGCTGCCCAAAATAAAACTTAACTGACGTTTCAAACTGATCCCAGACTCTCGGAGTCCATTCATGTTGTGTCAAAGATGATTAAGGCTGTCATAGATTCAGACTTCATTCTCTGAGAGAAGTTCAGCCCACATGACGTTTATCTGGAGGGAGGAAGAATAAGACAATTACAGTGTCAAACCCTTTTATTGTTATGGCTAAATCTGGTGGATGGAGCAGCTAGCAGCCGAACTCAAAGGTCTTGATGTGACACACTGTTGGTCTCATGGTAGACAAAGGTCATCAGTATTCCCTAAGTCTGTGATTTGAGCTCTGCACAGGTTGACACCAGCAGCTGATCCTGATTCAGTAAAATTACCTCCAAGTTTAAAGATTTAAAGCTCCTATAACAATTTAGCAACACAGTACGTAGGTTTTAGGCCTCGTCCACACTCCATTTTTGTAAGCAGGGTTTTTTCCCGCCTTTGTTCTCAGTATAGTGGAGGAGTAACTGTATGATATGTTATGTTTAACATATAAAAATCAACACATTCTCACTCTGACCTCGTCACATATTGACGTTTGGTCATGGACTTTCCACGTCCAGATACGACATCCAAGGTACTATGGGTTCGTTGGTTGTTGACGTTCTGGGACAACATGTGAAGTTCAGCCTGTTACATGCATTGTCATCTTTCAAAATACTTTTATGTTTTCACAGGAAATTTACAGTTAGCATACAGTCTCTTTCAAAATATACGCACTACGTCAGAACAACACGGGAACTGGAACTGACGTGGGTTTTTTGCCATCAACAACTAATGCACCCCTTCATTGCCTTAACTTTTGTTCATGTACCTCCGCGTTTCCCTCTGACGCTACCACCAAGTGCCATTAAACTATAATGGTGACCGGCCTCGTATCATGCTGATGTTAAAGGTCGGTTGTCGTTAAGTGTCTGACGCCGCAAGCTCAAGCTTCCGACAACTTCGGAGTTAGACTTTGTTTGTAAAAAATCCTGTTGTAGCAAAATCAGAGGCAGCACTAATTTAGTTTAGTTAGTTCACGAAATGTCTCCTCATTTGTGACGCTTCACAGAGGCGATAACAGCGATCACTCTGTAGTGTAAGCCAAAAACCCTGGACAGACATCTTCACCCTGGACAGAATTTTACTAAAGGATCATTTTAGTGACCTTAAACGCTGTTTGGGTCTGCATGAAAGTACGTTTTCAAACACACCTGTGTTCGTGTGGACTAGGCCATAGTGGTACCTATCGGTGAAGCTGCTTAACTGAAACTAATTTCTTGTGTGCCAAGCATGTACGAAAACTACAATGGCCAGTGTTTGATTTGTCTGTTTGGGGCTACTGTAGAAACAACATGGTGGATCCCTTGGATGAGGACCCTAAATGGATTTACTAATTAACCTGTTTTTTAAATGGTCTGATTTTCTTCTTCTATTCCTCTACTCTGAACTGCATTTTGTAAATAAAAAGTGCATTATATATAAAGCAAGCAGTTATTATTGTTAGTTATTAATATCATTACTATTGTAGAATTCTTCATTTATTGTGGATTAAAAAAAGAATATTAAAAATAATCATGTGTAGTATTGCAATAGGAAAAGCATAGTAAGCTGAAAAATAATTGTATACGCCATAAAAAATATTAAATAATGAAAACACGTTTCAGTGTTGTTCAAATAGCCACTATATGCAGAGAATGGAGTTGTAGTTTCCACACATGGTCACCAGGTGGCAGCATTTAACCACTGTCTGACAACCTGCTCTGTTCTACAATCAGTGCTATGAAAAAGATAAATAATCTTTTTTTTTCGTTCACTGGTTTGTGGCATATTCTTTCTGTTAAAAGTTTAAGTACCTAAATTTAAGTTTTAAACTCTTGCAGTGCTGGTTGCATTGGCTGCAGCTCTTTAGCTTTTAAAATTATCACAAAAACACTCAAAGCTACGGAAGCGTATTGCATTCACTTGACAAATAAAAAAAGTCCTATTTTTATGAGTATTTTTTTCTGTTTTCCTGAGTAATTTATTTATTTTTCCGTTTTTTTGGTGTAATTTTTTCTGTTTTTTATTTGAGTAATTTTACCCCTGTTTTTCGTGGTAGTTTTTCTGTTTGTTTTTTTTTTTTTGTGGTAATTTTTTTCTGTTTTTCGTGGGGTTTTTTTTTCTGTTTTTCACAGTAATTTTTTTTCCTGAATGAGGAGATGCTCCCACCTGACCCCTGCAAGTGACGGGTGCCTGCGTAAAGTTGACAAACTAATGATAACACCATCTATATGACTTAAAGACAAGAGTACCTCCCAGTGTCTCAAACCCAAAACAAAGTAAAACTGGATTAAACTAAACAAGTCATGTCTGCTTCCATTATGTCGAGCTCTCAAGAAAGGAATGAAAGCGTCTGTTGTTCTATTGCTCTCTTAACTTAGAAATACTCAGAAAAACAGAAAAAAATTACCCTGAAAAACAAAAAAAGAAACAGAAAAAAAAATTACTACGAGAAACAGAAAGAATTACTCAATAAAAAAGGATTTTTTTTATTTGTCAAGTGAATGCAATACGCTTCCGTACAAAGCAGCATAAAATGGAAATACTCAAGCAAAGTACAAGCACCTGGAATTTAAATTTAAGTCCAATACTCGAGTAAATCTATTGTAAAACTTTCCTCCACTGATATTATCTGCTGTCTTGTAATTTGTGGACAGACCTGAGGGGGGCAGTGTTCAGCTGCGGGTCCTGAGATGTGACCGAAATTTAAACCGCAGAAGAAGAAGCTCCACTTTTCCCACGTGAGAGGACCATCATGTCTCCACCAGGAGGAAAAATAAACAGACCGAAAACTGTAAGAAACTCTGTTTTATATTTTTATATTAAAGACGTGACGATAAAGAGCAAGAAGGGAAGACGTTTAAAGTTTATTTGAGTTAAATAAGATGTAAGCTAACAGCTAGCAGTTAGCATGAGCAGCTAACGTAAACACTGCAGCTTCCCTGTCTAACTTAGCTCAGTGTTTGTCAGGTTTAAAGATAGTTTACAGTTTTTCTGTGTTGCATGGACCTTAAATATATTCAGACCGGATCAGAGCAGTTATAATCAGTTACTCTAGTGCTGTACTTAAATACAAATTTGAGGTACTTGTACTTGAGTATTTCACTGTCATGCCACTTTCTCCTCCCCTACACAGGGTGTCTGCAGGGCCTGAAAAAGTCCTTAAAATGTCTTAAATGTTACAACAATGAGGCCTTAAATATAATTCAACAGCCTTAAATTTGAATTTGTGAGGTCTTAACTGCTACAAATATTGTACCTATTTACATTTATCCTTTTTAATTCCTTTTTGTGAAAATGAGTGAAGTCTCCCTTTGTGAAAGTCCACATTTCTAATGTTACAAATCTTTAAATATATAGAAAATACTGTCATTTTACTTCATAATTGCACTGACCTGTTGGCAAAATATAGATTGACTTAATTCACTCTTGTAACCATATTCCTACATTACACCTACCTCTGCACCTCTGCATGATTTGTCCAAACATCTGTCCTCTATGTGGTTAAAAGCGTCTCGAATGTGTCTTAAAAAGCATTCTGATACCTGTAGACACCCTGCTACATCTCAGAGGTAAATATTATACTTTTACTGCACTACATGAGTCTGACAGCTTTAGATACTTTTCATATTAGTTTTTATCCCCTTCCTGTTTAGTGAAAACCATGAATCTGATGTGTTGATGTTGAATGTTTGTGATAAACTGAAGGATGAAGTGTTTCTTTATGTGTTGAGAAAATCCTCCTCCTTCTTAAGCTAAATAAATTATTAAAGGGGAACACTACTACACTAATCAAATTAAGAATTCCAGTAGGTTACTCCTATGGCTCGGCAAAGTTCAGTCAGTATTTGTGAACATGAGCTACTCTGTTTCTCAAAGTCAGAAACCACGCAAGTGAGTCTGATGTGGCGCCATGTCTGCCGCCTCCGCTCAAAGTAACACGCCAGCACAAATGTATTTTTGATGCTACAAACTTCTGTTATCGTTCAGTCCAGTGGACATTGTGGAGAAGAACAAATAAAACATGAAAATTAGCAAGTAAAAGGAATAATGAATGAAGATGTTGTTTAGTTTTATTACTACGGAAGTGCATTGCATTCACTTGACAAATAAAAAAAAGTGTGTTTCATGTAATATTTTTTGTTTTTCTGAGTAATTTTTTCCCTGTTTTTTGTGGTAATTTTTTTTCTGTTTTTCGGGGTATTTTTTTTTCCTGAACGAGGAGACGAGATACTTCAAAATCTCGCGAGAAGCTCCCACCTGGTGCCTGCAAGTGACTCCTGCATCCATGGTGACTCCAGCTCCAGCTAAAAAAACAAAACAAAAAACAAACAAAAAAAACAAACAGAAAAAAATTACCATGAAAAACAGGGAAAAAAATATTCAGAAAGACAGAAAAAAATTAAAGCAAAAAAAAAAAACAAAAACAGAAAAATAAATTACTCAGAAAAACAGGGCTTTTTTTATTTGTCAAGTGAATGCAATACGCTTCCATACATTACATACCTAAAAATCACATTTATATAATATTTAATATTATTCTTTTAAATCCAAATCACAGAGATCAGCATCTGTTTTTCTGTAACATAAGTCCATGACTGTGTTTTAAAACATGGTTTACTGAAGTATTTTCATCATGAATGAATTGTTTGATCAGTAAAATGAAGTCACCAAATTGCTTGTTTTGACTAAACAACACTGCCGAACCTTATTTTTTTTTCATTTAATGTCACATAAACAGTGTTTCTCAAACTTCTAAGCAACTTTTTGCCATAGAATAAAGTGCTCTACTCATCATCGCAGGTGTGAAAGGCTATAAGCAGTACGTTTTGACCTTTAACTTCTCATGTTGTCTCATTTAATACATTTTGGAGGCACAAAGAAGCTAAACTGTCTTGATTTACACGAAAAAAATTAAGATTCAAGATAATTCAGATGTGTGTATCAGATTTTTGTTTTGGTCTTCTTAACCTATCCCATGATGCATCTCACGAATGAGCCGTCAAATTTTATGATGATACATGAGGAAGATTGTTTTCCTGATGTGTTACCAGTCCGCCCTCTGCTGGAGTGAAGGTCACATTGCAAGATGGAGTTTGTTATTTTCCTTCCTGAGGCTCTTAACTCAGTAGGGACCTTTCCAAAACCAGACCTGACCCACTCCTACTCTGTCTCGGAGTGTCACTCTGTTTGTAGTCACCTTCACAGGTGAATGAAGCACCTTCATCAATGTGTAGGGTGTAAACACAGCAGCAATCTTTGGGGCACACTTGTATCACTTTCACTGATTTCTGCTGCTGTGTGCTGGACTTTTGGTAGCTTATTCTATCCTTTTGCTAAGTGAATTGATAAATAAGTAAACAAATTAATATATAAATGAAATATTAAAGGGTCTAAAACTAATCCCTGAGATTAACTGGTGATATTTCTATTATTTTACTATTGTAAACATCTTGTTTTTCACTCTGATGTTACTGAGCTGCTCATTTTATCAACAGTTCCTGTTAAACTTTACTGCAAAACAAACACAACTGCAGTTTTAAAGAGACTAGAGACTTGTAGATTTAATCCAAAAAATGCAGAATGGTACTCTTGATATTGTGATATCCAAAATCTAAGACGATATCTAGTCTCACGCTATCGACAGAATTTCAGCATATCGCCTTGGTAATATAACTTTGGCCCTACAGACATAGACTTCATGTTTAGGTTTTTTCATCCTTCTGTTTGTCGTCTTGCAGGAGCTGGGTAAGAAGCTTTTCAAGCGGCGGCGAGTTCTGAGCAAAGAGAAGAGGAAGAAACATCAGATAGTTGGCGCTGTGGTCGATGAGGGTCTCATCACTGTGCATCACCTGAAGAAGAGAAAGTCAGTGATCAGTAAAACCTGTCAGGACGTTGATTCATATTCTAATGTTAGACTTGACGACTCGCTAAGACTTTGCCATGTTTTATTATTTTTAGACTGAAGTTTAACTTGTGATGTTTCAGTCTGACGTTGTGTTTTGTTTCAGGTCGAGCCCGCGGGCGAACATCACCCTGTCTGGAAAGAAGAAACGAAAGCTGCTCAAACAGCTGCAGCACATGCAGCAGGAGAAGGCCGGTATGGAAGGTAAATGGAGCCAAATTTTGTAACGTTACCTTTGTTAAATGTTGCTGTTGTCCCTGGCTTCATATGAGTAGAGGAAAAGTCTGCTAGCCACTAGGCTAATTTATACAATGTAAAATGCCATAGGCTTGTGCTAATAACGTTAGCATGTTGTATTTGTGGGGAAAATGTGTCCAGATAAAGACAAGTGTTTGTCTGTGAATGCTGCGAGTTATAGTGAAGCTGATTTGTGTACTTGTGTTTGAAATTGTCTCTATTAAGCCATGTTTAATGTGTGTTTAATGTGTGTTTTGAATCAA